GTTTTACTGCGGATATCCTCATTTCTGAGTCTATCACGCGGAGAAACTCCGAGCATAGGCCTCTCCATAGCTCGCTGAGCGACCTTGAGCGTCCTCATACGGCCAGCAGTGAAGGACCACGTCTCTGATCAGTAAGCCATCACTGGCAACACGCACTGGTTGTACACTTTAGTTTTCAGAGATTGAGGTATACCTGACGAGAAGATGTGTCGTAATTTCCCGAACGCTGCCCAGCCGAGTTGAATCCGTCGATTGACCTCTCGGTCGAAGTTGGACTTACCTAGTCGGACTATTTGTCCCATGTAAAAGTACTCGTCAACAACTTCGAGTATAGTGCTCCCAACAACTACCGGCATAGGTGAGACATGGACATTAAACATGATCTTTGTTTTGTCCATGTTCATCTTAAGACCTATCCGTTGGGAGACACCATTGAGGTCATTGAGCATAGTGCTAAGGTCCTCCAGCGATTCTGCCATAAGGACTATATCGTCGGCAAATCGAAGGTGAGTGATGTACTCGCCATTGATGTTAATACCGTATCCTTTCCAGTCCAGTAGCTTGAAAACGTCTTCCAATGCAGTGGTGAAGAGTTTCGGGGATATAACGTCACCCTGTCTTACACCTCTCTGCAGTTGGATAGATTTCGAGCTCTGATTCTGTACTCGGATAGCCATCGTAGCGCTACTGCACAAACACTTCAGCACTTCGATATACCGACAGTCAACTTGGCACCGCTGAAGGGACTGTGACACCGCCCAAATTTCGACGGAATCAAAGGCTTTCGCATAGTCCACATACGCTAGGCAAAGTGGCAGATTGTACTCTTCGGTGTTCTGTACAATCTGCCGCAGGGTATGTATGTGGTCTATGGTACTGAAGCCTTTTCGGAAACCGGCTTGTTCGGGAGGCTGGAAGTCGTCGAGTCTGCGTGCGAGACGATTCGTAATGACTCTCGAAAACAGCACGTAGACGCGGCTCAGAAGGGAAATCGGTCTGTAGTTCTTCAAGAGAGCGTTGTCGCCTTTCTTATAGAACAATACCACCGCACTTCTGCTCCACGCCTCCGGAGTAGTGCCATCATGGAGGACGGAATTGAAGAGCTTCTGAAGGACTTCAAGTACCGGTGTTCCACCCGCTTTCAGAAGCTCCGCTGTAATTCCATCCTCGCCTGGGGCCCTGCCGTTTTTAAGGTGCTGGAGAGCCATTCTAATCTCGCTCAGACTGACGTCCGGGATATCATCGGAATAGTGTCGGGTAAGACTTGCTCTTGAATCGTTACTCACACTTGCGTGTGGCTCCAACGATGATGTGTACAGCTGGCCATAAAACCTCTCAATCTCACTCAAAATCTCAGGTGTCTCGGAAACCAGTCTTCAGCTTTGACAGTTGGCTCTTTCTGGCAGACAGATCTCTGGCAAAGACTTTGGAGCCCTGGTTCCGCTCGATCGCTTCTTTAATACGAGCAGTATTAAAGTTGCGTAAGTCTCGCCGCATGCATCTGGAGATCTGTCTGTTCAGTTGCCTGTATGCTGTCAAATCTGTTGACGATTGCAGCCTCATCTCCCGTCTAACAGTCATGAGATTAAGAGTGTGATCGGAGAGTTTTTGTGTTCTTCTGCGGGGGTCCATTTCTACGATCTTGTCATTCATATCGTCCACTGAATTGCAATCTTCTAGGCACTGAAAGCGGTTACGTAACTCGAGCTGAAAAGTCTCGGGATTCTGGATAAGAGCACGAGGGGGGACGGAGCGTTGACTTCATTAGACGAGACCTCTCCAACTTAATGTTTAGGTTCAGTGTGCCTCTAACCATTCGGTGATCGCTGCCGGTTTTCACCCTTGCGATCACTGAGAGATCACTGAACAGTTGGCGTCTGGTCGTCATAATGAAGTCAATCTCATTTTTTGTCGAACCGTCGGGGCTCGAGCAGGTCCACTTCCTGTGGGGCCGCTTCTGGAAGAAAGAGTTCATCATTCTCCATAAAGTCAGCCAGCTGCTGGCCCCTACTTATGACTCCTTTACATTTAAAGTCATTTCATTAGATCCTACAAAATACATTTATGGTGCAAATAAAATGCACGTTTTCTCTCAACCTCACTACTTACCTGTTATGCGAAGAGAGTTCGATACGCTGGAAATAGTTATAAGATCGAGCACAGGAAAAAAAATACCATACCAGTTTGGAACCGTGTGTATTAAACTACATTTCCGAAAATTATAATAATGAATTCTCTTCGTGATCATCATAAATATCCATATGAAAATTATTATATACATCAAGCTGGGTCAGGAGTTGGAGTAATTTATAAGGGTTCACCATACCAACGAAAATACAAGTCATGGTATTGGGAGCTTCTTAGGGGGGGTTATTTAGATCAGTTTTACCTTTACTTTCAAGTGGTGCTCGAGTGATTGGTAAGGAGGCATTAAACGCTGGAGTAGGACTTTTATCGGATATGGTTCAAGCGCGTCCTATGGAAGCCTCAATAAAAGATCGTCTAAAGCAAGTTAGTACGAATTTAAAACGAAAAGCTGATGAGAAAATTGATCAATTTAACATGACAATATCTGGGTATAAAACTAAAAGAAAACGATTGACCTTGTTCATTCCACCATTAACTGCTAAAGTGCAAGCTGCGAAAAAACTTGGTCTCAAACCAAAAAATATCAAATATATATTTTCAAATTAAATATGTCTTTCCTTCATAATCATTCTTGCGAGTGCGTTAAGTCAGTATTGGATTTGTTTGCACTACCGTCTACACAAACGACCATTGAAAATGGATTGTGGATTCGTTATAAACCAATTTCATCTCTTGGTGATGATGGACCTATCGAGTTTCAAGTTCTTGGGATAGGCGATGACTACATAGATTTGTCTCATACATTACTCCACATAAAGGCAAAAGTATTAAATCAAGATTCAACTAACTTGATATCTACTACAATAGTAGCACCTGTAAATAATTGGCTGCATTCACTTTTTAGTCAACTTGATGTTTATTTAAACCAAAAACTTGTATCACCACCTAATAATACCTATGCATATCGAGCATACATGGAAACCCTTTTAAACTATGCTCCTGCTGCTAAACAATCTTATCTTACTTGTAGTCTTTGGTATGATGATACAGCAGGAAAAATGGATTCTACGGATGGTAAAAACATAGGATTTGTTAAAAGACAGGAATTGATTAGTGAAAGTAAGGAAATAGAAATGATTGGTCATCTTCACGGTGACATTTTCAACCAAGATAAATTTTTAATTAATGGTGTTGAAATGAGTGTTAAATTGGTTCGATCGAGAGAGAGCTTTAATTTAATTGCTGGGTCAAACGATGTAAAGTTTAAAGTTTGCATTACGGACGCAACTCTTATTGTTTGACGAGCATGAATTAATCCAAGTGTATTACTTGCACATCAAAAAGTTTTAGTTTCTACCACTGCTAAATATCCTATTACTCGAGCTGAAGTAAAAGTTTTAACAATTCCATCGGGTGTTCAAGGAAAATCTCTTGATAATATATTTTTAGGACAGGTACCCAAAAGATGTATAATTGGATTTGTGAACAATTCTGCATTTAATGGTTCCCTTACTAAAAATCCATTTAACTTTGAAAACTATGGTATTAATTCTTTCAGCTTATATATTAATGGTCAACAAATACCTTCAAAAGCTTTGCAACCATCTTTTAATAATAGCGTATTTACATCAACATATCATACTCTATTCTCGGGAACTGGTATTCACTTTCTTAATGAAGGAAATGGAATCTCTTGTGAACAGTATGCCAAAGGTTACTGTCTATGAGCATTTGATTTAACTCCTGATTTATCAGCCAACTCATCAGCTCATTGGAATCTCATAAAGCATGGTAGTGTAAGATTAGAAGTACGATTAGAATCCTCACTAATACAAACAATTAACTGTATATTTTATGCTGAGTTTGATTATATTATTGAGATAGATAAAAACAGAAATGTTACTGTAGACTATAGTAGTTAAGGGTATAATATGTGTTGTGTGTTAGATTTTATGAGTTATGTGTAACGCATTTTGTGTGTATGTAACTATGTGAAACGTTATAAAATTAAATGAAACTTAATAAAAAATAATATATTGCATACAATTTATATGCAATATATTATTTTTTATTTCTTTATAAATCTTCTATTTAATCTAATACAAAACACTGTTCGAGTTTAAAGTTACATCGGACTCTCTCATTAGATCATCAATAATAACGAGATGTGGGTTTTCACCATCAAACATATTAAAATTTGGAATTCCTTGATGATATTATTAATTATTTGCAATATAATAATATTGAAAAAGGACAGGAACGAGGGAAGGGTCTTCGTCGCGGCTCGTTCAGCAGCGGATTCCCTAACCTCCTATGACACCTACGTTGGGTTCGGGAACAACGTATGTGAACCCCGCAACGGAATAACACACAAGGGCGTCGACCTCTTCTTTTTCTTCAAATAGGTTCAGGCGGGGATTACGGGTCTTCCGAGGTCGTCCCGGTCCCAACGCCTTAATTCTTCAATATGTGCCGCGCTAGCGACACCAATGAACTGTACTTATCTTAAAGGTGAAGGATCCCTTGGGAATAAAACAGTAATTATCTTCAAACCGTTTCGTGAGAGAGTAATTACTTTCCCTATCACTTCCCTATATACTTTTCTTTCTTGATTATATTATATACTGGTAGCTGGTCCCGAACGATTTGTATGCCAGTTTGTCGTCTACATGCACCAATGTGCTATGCAGGTATCGGGCCTCGGGGTATACCCCATTGCCTGAATATTCATCATGGCCCATAACTATGGGCCAGTCTTTGAAGCCTATTCTAGGCGTAGATGGTTAGTACGGATTAGTCCGTAGTCAGATAAGATTTTCCCGTAGTTAACCGACTACGGGAAAAAAGGAGGTTATCTAGTAAAAAAGTCTAAGTTGGCCTTTCAGCGGCATTGAGGGTTGTTACTCGACTCTCTAATCGCTATAGAGAGGAGTTCTCTTGGAAAAGGTCGCCCGTCCGGGGGCCACGAAGTCGGTGATGGTCTCGACTTTCAGATCGGCCGCTATAACGTCGTTCCGGACGTATCGACCTGCTCCGACGATCGTCCTTAATGTCAGATTCTGCTGGGCCTGCATTCGCCGCCTCAGAGGGTCGCTCAGAAGCGCGTACCAGGCCGGAGCAGCGTAGGTGATGATGGACCGGATATACATCTTGTATATCCGGAGCTTGGTTTTGATTGGCAGCTTGGATGCCAGGACCGGCAAGAACGTCGCCCGCGCACATCGGGCTCTGCGGACGACGAAGTCGACGTGCGCGGTCATGCGCAGCGTCCTCTCGATCCCGCACCCACGGTAGGTTACGGCCTTCTGGTACGTAATCTTCTGGCCATAGAGGGTCAGCGGAGGTGGAAAGTTTCTGAGACGGCAAGTGAGCAGAGCGGTCGTCTTACCAACGTTGACGACCATCCTCCACTCGTCCAGCCATGGTGGCAGCAGGTCCAACAGACCCTGCATCCTGGCAGTAGCTATGTGGGCTCTTCTGGACGAGGTGAAATAGGCGCTATCGTCCGCATATAATGCCAGCTCAACGTCGTCCTCCCACGCTTGGAGCCTGCCTGCCAGTGTTGGGATGTCGTTAGTATAAGCCGCGTACAGGACTGGAGACAAACAGCTGCCCTGTGGAACGCCGGCTCTGATGGATCTGGTTGCGGACTCGGCATCCTCTACAAAAACGTAGAACTTCCTGTCTTCCAGGAAAGACGCCACTAGCCGCAACATAGCAAGAGGGATACTGGTCTGTTCGTACAGCTTATAAAGCAATCCTGAGTGCCACACCCTGTTGAACGCCTTCTCTATGTCGAGAAAGACGCCCAACGATATGCGGCCACGATTGTACTCTGCCGCAAGCAGGCGCAGCACTCTAGTCAACTGTGTGACTGTAGAGTGACCCCTCCTGAATCCGTGCTGCTCCGCCCGAATTTGGATGCACGGACGGAGACGTCTTAGCAGCAATCTTTCTAGCAGTTTAGCTATGTGCGGTAATAGCGTGATCGGCCTGTAGCTGGCAGCTCTACGCCTGTCCCGAGTTTCTACTTTCCTTTCTTCCAGTCCTCCGGGAAGTGGGATGTCCGCAATATCCCATTGTAGAGTCGACCAAGCTCTACTAGGACTCTATTAGGCAGCTGTCGGAGTGCAGCGTTGGTAATCCCATCGTGCCCCGGCGCCTTCCTCGGTTGCAGGCGAGTTACTGTCCTCCGCAGTTCAGCGGGGGAGATGAACCACTCTCCTGCAATAGGTGACGCGGGTGACGACGGGAACTCCTGTACGCGACTTTCCTTCCTGGCAACTCCGCACTTGCTGGGTTCGGCATAAATTGCTCCTCGAAGTGCTCGACTAGGATATCCGCTCTGCCCTTGGCATCGTAGCAGCGTTTACCCACGCTGTTGGTCAGCGGGCAAACGGGGGGTCTTGATTTTGGTCAACTGTCGGTTCAGTTTATAGAGCGACGCATCATGCTCATCCACCTTCCAGATGCGCCGATCCCAGGCCTCTCCTCTGAAGGCCTGGACTGCAACCGACAGTTCCTCCGATAAGGTTTTTAGTTGCTTTTTTATCCTGGGGCAGCGAGTACGTGCCCAGAGCTTTCTCAACGCTCTCTTGCGCCTGATCGCATATCTCTCGCGCATATCTCTCGCGGCAGATCGTCTCGCCTTGCAGTAATCGTGACGATCGTAGAGGCCGCGTGGAGGGCCTCCTGGATGTTTTTGGTAATTCTAGTAGCAGCGGCCTCTACGTCGTCCGCTGTGCTTATGGGATGGTGGACTGGAGGTCTCTCCTGCAGGTGTTGGCATTAGAGCCTCCAGTCGACACGTGTCTTGAATGCTCTGGGCGGCGTTGTCACCGCCTTTAGGCCAAGGGTTTCAGAATCGGGAGGTGCCGTGAGGAGAAGTCGTACAGAACTTCTACCACTATCGGGTAGTTGACGTTCCTAGTGAGCACGATGTCCAATACATCCGGACGTCTCCGTGGGTCAGATGGAACGTGAGTCGGTTCTTCGGGACCTAATACATCATAGCTGTTGTTCTCTGCATCTTTGTAAAGTTTAAGACCCGGCGAGTGATCACTCTGGACCCCCACGCCGGGTGTTTGGCGTTTAGGTCCCCGGCGATGACGGTGGGTGTTTCACCTTCCATCACCGTCCGGATGTCTGAGGAGCAGAATGGAGTCCCTGGCGGGCGGTATGCTGCATAGATCCTTAGTTCCTCGCCCGCCGCCTCCATTCTTATGCCGATAGAGCGCATAGTCTGGTATGGTGGTAATTCCAGCTCTTGGTGGACGATGTCCCTCCTCACCAAAACTGCCGTCCCTCTGTAGGCTGCCCCTTGAGAAGTGACCTCGTCCCTTCTGCACAGGTGGTAATTCGGCAGCTTAATATGCGTCTTTGGGTTTAACTTCGTCTCTCCCAGCAATATGATGTGCAAGTCCTGTTGTTGGGCGACTGTGCGGAGTTCATGCAGCTTCTGCTGTATTCCGTCCGGGTTCCAATAGAGGAGGCGCAGATTACTCTCCTCCGTAATGCCGGGCCAGTAAGTTTGCCAGCGCCTTCATTATCGCCGTCACTGGATCCGTCCCGGCTCTGATGTCGGCCAGGACTTGTGTGCCGACCTCGATGGCAATACCAACCAAACGTTGGATTGCATCTGCTGTTTCGAGGCCGGCAGTAGGCGGTCTCCTGTATGAAGGCGTTGGTACTGGTCTCGGGTGTTGATGATCCTGCACTCTTGGCTTGGCTCTTATGGGTAGAGCGCGCTCTACCTGTAGAGTGGGCTCTATGTTCAGGTAGAGCCCTTTCTGGCACTCTACCCACGCTCTTTTTGGTTGTCTCCAGAGTAATCTGCGCCTGTGAGGCTACTGGTCCAGTTGGTGTCGGGGTAGAGGTAACAGCCTGAGGAGGCTGCGACTTCTTCCTGCTCCTTTCCCGCCTCCTCTTTTTGGAGGGTTGCCGTTCTCTGGCGGGGTTGGCGGGGGGCTGTAGAGTCGCACCGGTGGTTGCCCTTGTCTCTACGGGTTCCACCGTTTCCATAGGTGTTACGGGTGGGGGGGGGGGGCTGGTTGCCTGCCCTTCCCCGTGATGGTAGCCCACCCGTCTTTTTGGATGGTTACAGCTTTTGTGCGACTCTGGGGGATCTTTTTCGGATCCTCCGGGAGTAGCCCCGGCAAAGTTATCTCCTGCCTCCTAGCAGTCCTCCTCAGGACTGGGCAGCGGCGGTCATTTGCCGTGTGGTTTTTGCCACAGTTGGCGCATTTCGGTTCCTCCTCTCTACCCCGAGGGCAAAGGCTCGCTATATGCTCCCCGGCGCAGCGCACGCACCTCACTGGCCTGAAGCAGTTGGCGGAGGCGTGCCCGAAGGCCTGGCATCGGTGGCATTGAGCCGGTCCTGCTTTTCTCTGCCAGGCCTCGATGACGACCCCTCTCATATAGAGGAGTTCGTCGACTTTGTAAAGGTCCTGGAGCTGCTCCAGGCTCAGGTGGTCGAACTGGGCGAAGTAGATGCAGCCAGGTCTGCCTCTACGAGGTGGGATTGCCTTCACATATTTAACGGGGGAAGCCCCTTTGCCCTTATAGCCTCCTCTATGGTTTTGGTGTTCGTGCCCATTGGTAGACCCCGGATGCCCACTTTAGTGGGCTTGTCCTCCTCCGGGTTGTAACAATACCACGACAGTGTTGGTGTTTCCTTTGATAGTTCAACCATATACCGCTGAACGGTTCTGAACTCATTGGCACTTTGCGATGTAAACCGTACGCTTTTCCCGAACGGACGGGCATTTAAAGGGTGGCCCAACATTCTGTTGAGCTCCTTAAAATGCCTCGTCCAATCCGGGAGGCGTTCAGCCACTATGGGCGGATATCTAGTTTTTTCCTGGTCGGCAGGCGTATCAGCAGGCACTGCCGCCGGTTGAGGTCGCGATACTGCTGGTGCAGCTACCATATGGGCATAGCTGGTAGATGGCCGTGGGCCATCATCCTGCGGGAGCCCGGACGGGTTGGTTGTTGCCACCGGCGATGATCGGCCGGCGGATGCTGCGAGGGTCGCGTAGGTGGTTGATCCCCAGCTATAGGATTCCTCACCCCCCTGCTCGTACTGGGCCGAATCATGGCTTCGCCGATCGGGAGATATGGAGCGGGGGGGGGCTGTGGTAGTGAAGGTGACTTTGGTGGCGATCTGTGCACCTTCTTCGTCGTCTCTTGGTGGTATTCTTCATCTTCCAATGTGGATGGTGGTTCTTTTTTTTTATAGGTTAGGGTGACAAACGAACACACAGTCCACCTGATGGTAAGTGGTTGCTGTGGCCCATAGACATCTACGTTCATCTTCAATTAATAATCAAAATGATTATTAATTGAAGAGATATAACTGATGCGTTGTCAACCCTGAGGACTGAGATGAAATGCCTCGTTTCCAGTAAAAAGGGTCTCCGGTTCTCTACACTCACCATACGAAATACAGCAGCATTAAGCTACTATTTCACGCTGGTATTCTGTGAGAGCGTGGTCCTTCCCCGGTCGAGCCGACCCATTCGTGCTACAACTATACTACTAATATAACTGCAGCATGGCTCTACCACGTAGATAGCTGTCGGAGGATAGGTGGGAGCCAATCCGTTGCCTCTTTTCATATAAAGAGGCTTCGGTTTCTGGAGGCGTATGGCGTCTGGCCGTTTTCTTTGCCCGCTGCTGCTGGGGCGACGGTTCCTGCCTGACCGTGTGCTCAGACACGGCCGGCGTGAGCGCGACGCCCGATGCGGGCTCCTTCCGCGGCGAGACGTATTTCCTCATGGGTATCTGGGAGAATGATGACACCGTTCTGGTGCGCTCCGGGTTCGCCTTATCCCTGATGACTAAATGTCTCTCTAACACTCCTTTCTTATCCGGTGGTACTTTTGACTTTGGGGGTGGCTCCCCCTTGTCCCTACCTGACATAATGTTACCTAACCTAACCTAACCTAACCTAAAAGAAAGGCCCTATCTATGATATGGTGGTAATAAAATAGTAAGTGGATTTCCACACTTGGGGCACTGCCTACCTCTTTTGCAACAAAAGGGTTGGGGGAAGTGCGATGGTGGCACTTTAATACGCGACTAGGCACAAAATGCTCGGAACGCATAAAGTGCCAAGAATCACCTAGGAGCCGGTGACCTCGACGCCTCCCGGAATCACGGGACTCAACGATCGGCGGAGTATGTCGTACCGGCGGTTGTATGCAGCCACTGCTAACTACAAACAACGCACACCTAGGAGATCCTAACTACACTTGTACTACACAACTATATTTGTATAAGACATACATTTATACATTTTATTTATAAAGATAGCACAAAAAATATCTATACTATGATATACATTACATTTTAATATCACAAAAAAATCTTTTATTTATTCAACAAAATATGCCTATTTTACAACGTATGTACTAAGTTAGAATTTTTTAATATCTAACATATAAGGTTGAAACAATGTTCTTCATTTGAAATTATAAATATCTTAACCAATACAATAGTTTAATTTACATTTTTCCTATACATTTTACTATTTAAAACACTCTTAAATTTCTTACACAAAACTGTCAATATTTCACTAATCCGAAGGAAATTCACATGAAAATAACACAGAATCCACCTATTTTGCTCATACAGTTAATCTGAAATATTTTACAAGTCAATTTTACATGAATTGCTGAAATTTGCAAGTATTTAAATTTCTACTTATTTTGACCTCCTAAGTACAAGGTTAACGCGCGGCTATGAACTCGCGCTATTTGAACAACTAATTCTTACACGACTCTCAATTGTCGGTAAAAGGTGGCAAATTTAGCACACACTGCTATCAACCAATACTAGGTGAACAACTGATTCTACACGACTCTCAAATGTCGGAAATTATTTCTAGCTAGATTCTTATCAGCTATCTATATAATCAAACATTGAAAATAAACATTTTATTTTCATACGA